GAAAAAATATATATTCAAGATAAATTTAAAGTAAATATGACGCACTGGTCAAACACTAATTATCAATAATAAAAAGAAGTGATAAATGAGAAAGAGTTGGAAATCAAGTAAAGGATATAGGAAAAGGAAGAAATATAAGATGAAGGAGAAAGATGAATAGGGTGGTGGAGATGAAGATTCAATAAAAACGTTCTACTTTTGGGGTTTTTGGATTGAGCAGTCTGAGATCTGATCCTTGCAAGAGTTCTGTGCACACACACCTGACACGCTGTAAAGATAATAAACAACTTTAAAAAGTATAGGGTGCCTTTATTCCCAATTCATCATATATTCTAATGATGCGAATATAGTAAATATATTGGATTTTGAAACATTCTGGTCGCCACACTCCGCTTATTGAGATACACAGCCCTAATTTAGTTTAAAACCCATCCACCGATTAAAAAGTTTGAAACCAGGCACACAATATGGGAAGGAATGACGGAAGAATTACAAAACAAAATTAATCAGATAAACAAAGACAATAACACGTTCGTATATAAAATTTAATTTCAAAACCGCGTCGAAATTAATAAATGTGTGTGTGTAGTGGCAGGTGTAGTGGCAGGTGTATGAGAGCTTCAGGGTCAATATCAGGTTCACGTCGACCTCACACAGCCTGGACACTGATACCTGCCAATAACTGCCCTCGCTTCTACCCTTTTGTGTGTGTGTTTGTTTTTGTGTGTTTGTTTTGTGTGTGTGTGTGTGTGTGAGAGAGAGAAAGAGGGGGGGGGGGCGTGGATGGTTATACACAGGTGAATGGATGGACACTGTCGAACACCTCTACACCACCCCCCCCCCTCCTCCCCGTGACCCATCGGTTAATAAAGCGTCAGGTGTCGACAGGTGATGTGTGTCCACCCTCATAGTGTACCTGTATTCTCCACCTATACCCTCACCTGTAATCCATCTGTACCCTCAATCTGTATTCCACCTGTGCAACACCTGTACACCCCTTACACTACACCTGTACACTGTATCGAAACAATTACTACAGCCAGCAAGTTACAAATATAAACTATACAAGAACAGAAATATCGACATGATTTGGAGCCCCTTAATAAAAAACAATATCTGATTTACAAGACTGATATATCGACACAACACCGGTTATAATCGACTCCAGTAGACATACATTGAATAGTCTACATAATGTATATTTTATTCATTTGTTGGAGAAAAATACATAGTGGAAAAACAATAAAAAAAAGACGATCAAATTACAAAATAAATAATAAGTTAAAATAAGAGACAGTAAATGGAAGTTTTTTTTTTTTTATTATGGAAGTGATAAATTTGAGAAACAAACAAAAACACAATCAAGTTATAATATAAGCAATGATATAATCCAAACAAGAAGCAATAACAATTACTTAAACCAGAACGGGTAAATAGTAAATAATACGTAAATACAATTACTTCTTTACCCACTACACTAGCTAGGTGTGTTACCAACGTCCTCAAGGGTTAACATCGTGGTTCAGAAAGGGTTAAAATATCGTCCTCAAAGGGTTAAACAAAGGTCATCCAAGGTTTAAACCCTCGTCCTTAATCCCTTGTGTACCGTGATTTAACCCTTTGTGTACTGTGATTTAACTCATTGTGTACCATGATTTAACGCCCTTGTGTACCGTGATTTAACCCTTTGTGTTCCATGATTTAACCCTTTGTTGTTGTTATTGTTGTTACTATTATCATTGTTATTGTTATTATTACTATTACCCGCTTACGTTACAGTTGCACAAGGGGTTAAAGTTAAACCGTCGTCCTAAGAGAGCTGAACTACCATCCTCAGAGGGTTAAAACAATTATCCTCAGAGTTAAAAAATAATAATTGTAGGCAGGATGTTTTAATATGCCGCAGTGCGTAGCTGGTACTAATGAGGGATATTAAACCTTAACGAGAGGCTCAGACCGGCTTTTTACACACATCAACGGAAAAGAACGAATCTGCCCGGCGTCATCATCTGGAACTGAAGAGACGGATTTCGTTTTTTCTCTCTGTCAATGACGCGCCGCTGAAGAGAACCTGGAGATACAGAGAATCCATTTTTTTGTGTGCGTGCTCCAAGTTGTGAACGTGATAATTAAACGAAAAAGCGATGGATTTTGATTAAATTTGGTACGTGGAAGTAACTTAATAATATCTTGGAGGAGTTCGATAAGTTGGTAATTTTCCATGTGTCTGGAGTAACTTGACTCACGTTCATACGGTCTTAAAAACTGAAACAGACGAATAAGTGACTATTTTCCTAAGTAAGTAATTTTTAAAGAAGTAAATAAAAAAAAACCACGAAACTGCTTTCTGGAAAAAACTATATTCCCTACAGTTTACAACACGAGGAAATTAAAAGAATTTTTTAAGAGTAAATGAACGTAAGGACGGTCAGAAGCAACAAGTACAGTATCTACTAATTCAGCTCCTCTTAAATGCTTGCTGGTTCACACTCAAATGTTGATAGAGTAACAGCCACTTACCCTCACACCTCCTCTATCCTTACTCTGAAGCAGAACACGTGTGAGAGAGGGGGAAAAGAGGATGGCACTTACTCCAACAGTGGAGGAAGGGTACTGGATGGCTACTTTCTCTACAGCCAAACCAAACAGGAGGTGGTGGTAGGTGGGTACAGTACTTACTCTCACAGCGAAGGGCCGGCTTGTTGGTCATAGGCTTGCTACACACGTCACAGGTGGCTGAGTTACTGTAGCAGACAGACACGAACTGATGGGAGCTCTTCTTAGGCTTGTCCTGCGGCATAACAAAAACCACATCGTCAATCATATCCCCCTATAGAAGGTCTACTACACCATGTTATATATAGTTCTTGAGGTATAGCTACGTCAAGGCTTCAACTATTATTATTTACAAATGACAAATTACTAATCTATTAATATATAAACTAAAACACCATCATTTGAATACCTAACTAAATTATACAGTACAATATACACATCAATTCACACACAAACACACAACTGGATGTATATGATCAAATTTATATACATGTAGGTTAGGTTAACATCATGACAGACTGAATATATATACTTACACGAGATAAATTCTGTATATATATAAACTTATTGAGGCTTACGACCAACATGTGGGAATTACTGGGTTTTTATATGTCAGGTAAAGTAATAGTGTGCCTGTTTTCTCCTAACACTCTGAACCATTATGTAAATACAGTGTGGTTATTTATAGGAAAGGGGGGGGGGAAGAAAGTAGGAGGAGGGGGAGCAAAGAAGAAGCACATAATTGAGGAAGAGGAAGATAGGAGGGGAAGGAGAGGGAGACGAGGAGGAGCAGGAAGAAGCGGAGGAGACAGGAGGAGGAGGACGAGAAGGAGGAAGAGATAGAGGAGGAGGAGGAGATAGTGGAGAAGACAGAAGGAATATATATATATATATATAAAGAGGAAGGATAAGAAAAGGAGGAGAAGTAAAAACCCAGGATGAGAGAACCGAGGAGATAGAGAGGAGAGATAAAAGTGTGTGTGAAGGAAAGAAAGAGAGAAGGAAGGAAGAGGCCGATACCATATAACTGTGAAAGAAATTCTGATGATTTTAGTGTATCTGTTGAGACCTGAACATGACAAGGGCCCGTGACAATAACTTGGCCCTCGTGTTAATGGTTAAATTAGGTTTGGGGTCTATTAGGACTGGGGGCTATTAAGATTGGAGGCTATTTGATAAATCTGGGGCCTATTTGACCAGTCTGGGGCCTACTTGACCAGCATGGGGCCTATTCGGACCAGCCATCATAAACGTGTATGAAGAGGCTGAAGCGAACAAGAATAAGGAAACTCGTAATAAATGAGGAGAAAGAAGACTAACGAATGAAAAAAGAAGAGTAAAGAAGAAACAAGAGGAGGAATAATGATAAATTGTGGAAGCGGAGAAGGGGAAGAAAAATGGGAAATAAATATAGTTGACGAGGAGATGGAAGAAGAAGGGGATGATGAGAGAGAGAGAGAGAGAGAGAGAGAGAGAGAGAGAGAGAGAGAGAGAGAGAGAGAGAGAGACACTCACCTTCTTCTTCCTAAAGAATATAGATCCTCTTTTTCTTCTCTTGTTGGTAGACTCGTCCTCATACTGGTAGTTAGACCTGTGGGGAGACGACCAGGCTGTTAGTAGTGCTCACTAATCACCTTAACCTCACTAATCACCTTGACCTCACTAATCACCTTGACCTCACTAATCACCTTAACCTCACTAATCACCTTAACCTCACTAATCACCTTAACCTCACTAATCACCTTAACCTCACTAATCACCTTAACCTCACTAATCACCTTAACCTCACTAATCACCTTAACCTAACTCATAATTAACCTCACTCATGACTTAATCTGACTCATCACCTAAGTTGAATCATGATTAACCTCACTCATAAACTTGACTCATGACCTAACCTTGACTCATGACCTAACACACTGCCATACCCTCTCACACTACCACACCATCCTCACACTGCCACACCCCCTCACACTGCCACACCATCCTCACACTGCCACATCATCCTCACACCACACCGCCTCACACTGCCACACACTGCCCCGCCACTGCCACACCATCCTCACATTGCCACACACTGCCTCACACTGCCACACCGCCTCACACTGCCACACCGCTACGACAGAGGGTGAGGAGCGTGACCTGACCTGACCTCAATAAACAGGCAGGTACACAAGGGTTACCTGGCTCAGTGCCTCGAAAGGACCTTAATTATGGCACTGGTCTCTCTCACCTGTAGTCTACACCTGGACCTGATTCTACGTGTGTGTGTGTGTGTGTGTGTGTGTGTGTGTGTGTGTGTGGTGCAGTACAGGGCCGCCACGACACACTGCAACACAATGGGTGATTCACGGAAGTAAGTGTGAAAGTAAATTTAAAAGTCTGACAATAATTCACATTTTACGCTTCCCGCCGCCATCAATAGAAGACAGTCATTGTTTATTCTCACTGTCCGTGTGTGAGTCCGTCCGTGTGTGAGTCTGTCTGTGTGTGAGTCTGTCTGTGTGTGAGTCCGTCCGTGTTTGAGTCTATCAGTGTTTGAGTCTGTAAGTGTGTGAGTCTGTACGTGTTCGAGTCAGTCCGTGTGTACGTCTGTCTGCTGTAGGCGAGATATATGACGTCTATAAATTCATAACTTTTGACAGTGAAGAATTTGTACTCGAGAGAGATATGTGTGTGTGCTCTCTCTCTCTCTCTCTCTCTCTCTCTCTCTCTCTCTCTCTCTCTCTCTCTCTCTCCATTATAAACAACACGAGTTCATCATAATACCACACAGAACTACTTCAAGGAATCGAATGGACCCCAGCCAGTGCTAGTAGGCCCCAACTTAACATAAACTGTTTACAGTGATGAGGGGCCCAACCAGATCTCTTTACGACTGTCACTCAATAGATACATAGCCCATTAAGACTGGCTCTCAATCGTCATGGCAATAGGATTTATAAGTCTTAGTTAATGCCAATAACGACAAGAGCCCAATGGCACAACTACGCAGAAAAGCACCGTTAGTCACTTTGTATCATCGCAATACTCGATAAAATGTCCAAAACAAGTCCAAAACACGACCAATTTAAGTCCTAATCACCAACGACGTAACTCACTGACCAGGTACATATTAAGGCTAAAACAGGTGAAGAATCAGTGAAGGAATGCAGCTGTACCCGTTATGTACCTCGCGATACAGGCATAAAGTTTGTGTGTGTGTGTGTGTGTGTGTGTGATCATCAGACGTGCACGGCAGTAAGTGGGTTATATTAAGCACGTTTGTAGCTGTAACTTGCAGAATAAGATTTGTTTCAGCTTATCTTCCCGGCTGCCTCCTTGAAGTGGGACAATCTATATACACAGAAATTGTCTCAATGTCAAAGAGAACATTTCCAGGAACTTCGTCACCCTCACTCGTTTGTTGTGATCTAAAAATATCTTCCCCACACACAACGTCCTCTTCCTTTATCTAACACATGGGTTCAGATTACTAAATATGGATTCGAACCCTTCACCAGGTACTCGCTCTAAAAAAAAGTATCTGTACAATTTGGTGTGGGACAATATGACACAAAGGACGAAGGATTTTGACAACCCTACCGAGACAAAGAGGAGTCAGGTGTTCATTTTGAAATTCCTCGATCCTCACCGTCAAGATACTTTTTAGGGCGAGTGTTTACACATTCTTCAGTTGTAGTATCCACAGTCTGGGGGCCTCTGTGTGTGTTGGAGGGGATGTGCGTGAGAAGGGGAAGGGCCTGGGGGGAGGGGGGGAGGAAAGGGGGTGAAAATGGCGTCCCCTTAGTGAAGAGGCTAACGTGTTTCTACATGAAGTTCAGCCGAGTTAGATGTGTTATTGATTTCCCTCAGGTTAGACAGTCACAATATAACTCTACCATAAGCAGCCACTGTTGGTCACTTCTAACTCTACGGTGGAAATGGATATCGATCTCTCTTGATGGAACTTGTAAAGATTTGGGTATACCATGAGGAGCCTGCAGCATAAAACCTCAACCTGCTAAAATACTTCTAATGTAACGTCAGCTGTTTTGTACGTCTTATATCACGATACGAAACAGAAATGACAGAGTACATGACGAAACAGAAATGACAGAGTACATGACGAAACAGAAATGACAGAGTACATGACTACAGCACAATACAGAGACAGGGTTTAGTATATTTTTTGTATGAAGGACGTGGAGAGTTTACCCTGCGCCTGTGTGGAAATTTCATAGGTGTTGACACTGTACGTAGTCACTACACACAGTACCCACACCAACTGGTGTAACTTCAACTAGGTCACACAACTAGTGTCACTCTCTACAACTAGTGTCACTCTACAACTGGTGTCACTCTGCCAACTGGTGTCACTCTGCCAACTGTCACCTACAACTGGTGTCACTCTACACCGGTGTCACTCTACAACTGGTGTCACTCTACAACTGGTGTCACTCTACAACTGGTGCTACTCTACAACTGGTGTCACTCTACAACTGGTGTCACTCTGGCCAACTGGTGCTCTACCTCACAACTGGTGTCTACCTACAACTGGTGTCACTCTACAACTGGTGTCACTCTACAACTGGTGTCACTCTACAACTGGTGTCACTCTACAACTGGTGTCACTCTGGCCAACTGGTGTCACCTCTACAACTGGTGTCACTCTCACAACTGTGTCACTCTACAACTGGTGTCTACCTTCACAACTGGTGTGCTCACTCTTACAACCGCAGCAAGCCTACCTCTACAACCTGCAAATACCTACAAACCGGTGTCACTCTCTACAAACCGCGTTCTACAACTGGTGTCACTCTACAACTGGTGTCACTCTACAACTGGTGTCACTCTACAACTGCAGGTGTCACTCTACAACTGGTGTCACTCTACAACTGGTGTCACTCTACAACTGGTGTCACTCTACAACTGGTGTCACTCTCTGCCAACTGGTGTCACTCTACAACAGCCACTCTACAACTAAAAGTCACTCTACAACTGGTGTCACTCTCTACAACTGGTACTCTGCCAACTGGTGTCACTCTACAACTGGTGTCACTCTCACAACTGGTGTCACTCACAACTGGTGTCACTCTACAACTGGTGTCACTTACAACTGGTGTCACTCTTCTACAACTAAAAGTCACTTACAACTGGTGTCACTTACAACTGGTGTCACTTCTACAACCTGGTGTCACTTGCCAACTGGTGTCACTCTCGCCAACTGGTGTCACTCTACAACTGGAAGTCACTCAACTGGTGTCACTCTCTACAACTGGTGTCACCTACAACTGGTGTCACTCTACAACTGGTGTCACTCTACAACTGGTGTCACCGCCAACTGGTGTCAATTTCTACAACTGGTGTCACTCTACAACTGGTGTCACTCTACAACTGGTGTCACTCTACAACTGGTGTCACTCTACAACTGGTGTCACTTCTACAACTGGTGTCACTTACAACTGGTGCTCACTCTGCAAACTGTACCACAACTAGTGTCACCTTACAACTAGTGTCACTCTACAAATCCAGTGTCACTCTCTACAACTAGTGTCACTCTACAACTGGTGTCAATTTCCGCCAACTAGTGTCACTCTACAACTGGTGTCACTCTACAACTAGTGTCACCTCTACAACTAGTGTCACTCTACAACTAGTGTCACTCTCTGCCAACTGGTGTCACTCTACAACTGGTGTCACTCTACAACTGGTGTCACTCTACAACTAGTGTCACTCTCTACAACTAGTGTCACTCACAACTGGTGTGTCACTCTCACAACTGGTGTCAATTTCACAACTAGTGTCACTCTACAACTAGTGTCACTCTTGCCAACTAGTGCCTACTCACAACTGGTGTCAATTTCTACAACTGGTGTCACTCTACAACTAGTGTCACTCTACAACTGGTGTCACTCTACAACTAGTGCTCACTCTACAACTAGTGTCACTCTGGCCAACCAGTGTCACTCTCACAACTGGTGTCACCCCTACAACTGGTGTCACTTCTACAACTAGTGTCACCGCCAACTAGTGTCACCTTCACAACTAGTGTCACTCTACAAATCTTAGTGTCACCCCACAACCCTAGTGTCACTCTGGCCAACTGGTGTCACTCTACAACTAGTGTCACTCTCACACAACTGGTGTCACTCTACAACTAGTGTCACTCTACAACTAGTGTCACTCTGCCAAACTAGTGTCACTTGCCAACTGGTGTCACCTACACACCCATTGGTGCTCACCTCTACAACTAGTGTCACTCTACACTGGTGTCACCACAACTGGTGTCACTCTGCCAACTGTGCCTACTCTACAACTAGTGTCACTCCACAACTAGTGTCAATTTCTTGGCCAACTAGTGTCACTCTACAACTAGTGTCACCGCCACCAGTGTTACCTCACAACTAGTGTCACTTCCCTACAACTAGTGTCACTCACAACTAGTGTGTCACTCTACAACTAGTGTCACTCTACAACTGGTGTCACCACAACTGGTGTCACTCTACAACTGGTGTCACTCTACAACTGGTGTCACTTCTACAACTGGTGTCACTCTCGCCAACTGGTGTCACTCTACAACTAGTGTCACTCTACAACTGGTGTCACTCTACAACCCTGTGTCACTTACAACTGGTGTCACTCTACAACTGGTGTCACTCTACAACTAGTGTCACTCTACAA